TTTTAATCATTTATTCTGCATGTTGTTTCCTTTGGAGAGAAGAACAAGCAGGCACTAAACAAGCTGAGCATCTGAAATTCATGGCAGAAACTAGAAAGAGCTCATTTAATATCAACCATCATTGTAAATACTAGAATTATGCATGTATTAAATCCCCAGGTCTGAACACTTTGGGAGCAGCCAGTGAGTCCTGGTTGTTTTAATGAGTCAAACCAAAATGATGTCTTTGAATGTTGCTTAGATTTATAACGACTCAGATTTAATCCCATTTCAAATGTTGTAGCTGGGGCCTAGCTCAAGAAAAAAGTCTTTGTTTCTATGCAAAGAAAAATACATTAAGAGGGGAATTTAAAGGATGTATTTCCCAAAAGGCTGAGAGGGAAAACAGTCAAACGTACCTTTCACCTCTGTGGGGAAAGACTTTAATTATGATTCGATGGCAGCTAATTGCAAAGGTGGTCCAGTGCTGCAAGAACTTTCTTTAAAGCCAAAATTGGTAGGATCTTGATGCTGATCTAAATATCCTCCTGCAGGGTGAACTAGGATGAGTGAAGGTTTCCTATTTCCCTGACCTCTAGCACACCCACACCAGTAGGCTGACTGTTAATGAAATCCTCAAACCACTCGGGAATGTGCACTTCCTTCACAGGGGGAGACCTTGATGGTATTTAAATAGCTGCTAGTATTAATAGCAATAGCTGGTAGATAATGTGGAGACTTGGGAGCTCTAGGGAGCAACGAAGGTTTGGGAACAGCTCAGGCTGTCTTCTGTTTGTCTTTGTAAACCTTGCTTCCTGTCTCTTTGGTCTGTGTTTCCTTTCAAGGATGAGCTGAGATACCAAACAAAACGTGATTATGTAGGTAGGTAAAAAGAAACCTGCCTGGATACAAAGTATGCCTTGGGATGGAAAGCTGCAATTGTAGTGGAGACTCAAATGTGCTCTTTTGATTTTCAAGTGGTAATGAGACACCAAGGAAGCACCATTACCAGGGATAAGGCAATCTGCTTCTTTCTTGGCAGTCTAAACTGCCTTCCACTTGCTCCCTCTCCACCTGGGAGGGTTATCCTTCCATTTTAGGTTTCTTTGGTGAGTGTGAGGGGAAAAGGGTGAGAATCCAGTAAGACTTTCTGTAACTCCTCTGACCCAGCAACCAGAATAATGAAGGTATCTCTAAAGATGCTATCTGTGGATGGACGGATGGATGGATGGATGGAGGGATGGGTATTTGTGCTAAAACAGTTGGGCACCTAACTTTGATACAGAGGGAAAAGACCAAAGGATTCTTCTTGGTTTTGTCATACAGAATGAGAAGCAGATTAACAAACAGGAGAAACAGACCTTATGCAATGGTAATTGACTGGAAAAGATTTCCCTAGGTTAAACTGGTGACTCTTCAAATCAAGAAACCTTCCTCTGGTTGTTTTTATGGTGTTTTTCATAGGAAGATTCAAGACAACTTCCACATATGAAGATCAAGAGTTTAAAATTAAGACAATGATGGAATTCAAGGTTAGCATATTAGAGCACTGGAAGTTGTAGGAGTACAAGAGAACTTGAAGTTCAGATGTAAAGACCCAAGAGTAACAGAAGAAAAAACTGACACAAACAGGGGAAATAGAGATGAAGAATCCTCAGTTAAGATTGCTGGTATACATAGAAAAAATGTGAATAGAGGTAAATCACAACATACTGAAAATATGATGGATTAATTGGGTGCAATCTTTGGGTACTGACTTTTGCTAGCATTGCATGCTACATAAAAGCATGGAATTAACAAACACCAGTGTAGCAGGGTTAGAAAAAGAAATATTTTTGAAAGCAAAATGGAAAACCTCTTTGACATCCATTAGATCTAGTAACATAACACTAACAAGAACACTGCACTGAGCCGTTATCTGGTTTGCTGTCTGATTTGCTCTCCAGATTACCACTTAAATCAATAGCTCTCACATTGATTTTTCCAGCACACTGTATTCCAGTAAAAAGAACAATGCTGAGATGAGTCAGCTATTTTGTCCGTCTTTAGGGACTCTGGTGCATTTTCGTTTAAGAAAATAAAAGCAGGAGCCAAAGTACACACAAATATATAGTAATAAGAATCTGCCTGTTGCACCATAACATGACACCAGCTCTGCAGACACAGGGGTTTGCTGCAGCAACTACAGACCTGCCTCCAGCTAGAGCAAGCCTCTGTAAGGATGGAACCAAAATATTTGGGGATGGTCTTAAATAATTACATTGTCTTTCAGTTTAGGTGACAGCTATGGCAGAGGAGAAAAATATGCCCACATTTAACTATGAAGCTGATCTCCATATATTTGCCATGACATGGTAGAACCTCGGCAGCATTGCATTTTCATTTGTTTAATGCATTTTCATGTATTTGCATATTCCATGTAACATGTTCTATATTCCTTATACTGTAACTAGTCATCACTATCATCTGGTGTTGCTTCTGCTCCTTTTAACCATGTTAACAATTTCCTACTTTGTTTGTAATCACAACATGCAGGTTCATTTACTCTGGCTTTCTCTCTCTTGCTTAGCTGTGAATTCATGAAACCAACAACCTATCTCTCTCTCACACAGTTTTGTAATTATTTCCAGGAACTTGCAAGAAGTGCAGCAAGAATGTTTTCAGTTCAAAGAAGAAATGATAATCTCAAGACCTGAAGCCTGACTCTCCCCATGGATTCTCTGGACCACCTCTCTGCTGCAGGCATAGAGCAAAGCTGGTGCCCATCGTCTCTCCCGCAGCTCCACACACATGGCAGCTGTCTCAGCTTCCAGGATCTGCACAAGCTTGGCTTATTTCTGGGAAATTTGAACTAATAGCAGCTAAAACCCACTAAAATGCCAGAGAAATGTAACAATTGGAAATGCTTGTCACTCTTTTCCATTACAAATTCTGTTTTATGGAGATTTATTATCTCCATCTTTGAATGTAAGGTACTGGATTACAGTCTATCCCACCTTCCATTAGTAACAGCCCTGGAAAATATGGGGTGGGCAAAGAGAGTGTAAAGGAGACAGCATCAGCATCCAGAATCCTTACTGTATAGTGAAGACCATATTGTGAATATTCTGAGGGACAAACAGCGCACAGGAAATAAATATATGCAGAGCTGTGGGAATAGTCTGTAATTATAAAGCCTATTATTCTGAAAATACTGCTGAATATTGCTATCTTCAACTGCTGTAAAACTAGAATCATTACAAAAACTCTGTACTTCTAAGTAATGCTCAGTAACGTGTATTTCACATTGCTACATGTTTGCCCCCTAATCTCTTAGTCTAAACAAAATAACATTCATGTTTCCATAACAATTAAGTGAAAGGAATAATGAGTTCTCTACTTCAAGTAATTTTTAAACAAAAAGGACAGTATTTATGGCAGTTAAAGTATGGTAAATCTGGAGCAATCCAGCCTGTTTACAGGAAAGCTTATCAACTTCCAGGTGTCCACCTGTATATCTGGGAATAGTGTGTAATTTGTGGCGTTAAGGTACTGAGGAGAGGCATTTTCTGCTTTGCTTTGCTCTGTTCACAACATATTTCAGCTTAGTTATGAGCTACCCTGTATCACATACTTTCCCACTTCCCAGATGTTCCCAAGGAATAGGTAGACGTAGAGGTAAACTATGCCAGATACTTCCCCAGGTCTCAGCAGGATATTAAAGATAACCCTGAGCAGGCTGCAGTCCCCAGGAGGAGATACACGGACCTGTTTCACAGAGCACTTCCCCTGCAGAGCATTTAGTTCAGGCTTGTGCAGCAAAACAATACAGCAGTGAGATCAATAGGTGCTATTGCTACTCATGCAAAGGTTCTTCCTTCCACAAATTATTATAATCGACTATAATAAGATTATCTCTAATACCCAGTACACAAACTTTAGCCCATTTTGACAAACAGATAGCAAGTCTCATATGGCACCTGAGTGGTGCTTTAACTGTTGCTAAGACGAGTGCTAGAGAAGTGAAGCTACAGAATGAGATACATAGAACTGGGTGATATGGTAAATTGCCTAACGATAACGGCTGTGAATCACACAACAAATCAGACATCTTGCCTTTTTTGCCAGGTAATAAATTGTGTTAAGGAGAAGGAATGGAAATTGAGGATATTCATTGCCTATCAAGAGACACCTGGCAGAACAGCTTTTGGTCTGCAGTCTGAAAATAACCCCGTTCTGACAAGTGTCGGTCCGAGGTGCTGGTGAATCACTAGAAATCTTGCTCCACCGAAAGCACCATCCAGCCTAACTCTGCTCAGAATAATTTGAGAAACAAGGCCTAGTTGCAGTGCTGAGGGACGTGATTTAGGGGTGTCCTGGCAGTGTTAGGTTAATGGCTGGACTTGATAATCTTAAAGGTCTTTTCCAACCTAAAGAATTCTATGATTCTATGATCCCAGCTAATATTCCTGATGCTTCTATGTTCATTTCTGAAAAACCTCTGAGCCCTTAAAACATTTACCAAGGTGTCTCATTTTCCCTTGTCTTCGCAAGGAAGGCTTCACACTTGCTATGATCAGACACCCACCCCACAATTTTGGCTATTCTCTTTTTCGTAGCTGCCTGAAAAGGGAGGCAGTATGTACAGGAGCAGTTTAAAGAAACAGAGAGCTGCACGGGCCCAGTATTTCTAAAACTTATATATTCAAGGAGTTCTCTTCAATGTTTGGGATGGGATTATCTGTTCTCTGAAACTTGTAAAAGTAGAGAGACTTTGCAAAAAAAAAGGAGCTTTTTAAAAAAATAAATTTGCTACTGCTGCAAGATTCTGTGATGAGGATAAATAGAAGGTTAGTATCAGGCACCTAGTCACTTCAAAGTGTGAAAACAGTGACGGCTGAGCATGAACCTGTCAGGGCTGTGATGCTCACGGGCAGAGAGCCACCGCTCACAGCCTGGTGATTCCTCTGTGAGAGAAGACCCAAAGCGACGGCGCGAGGGACGCGTGCCCTGCCAGGGCAGAGACAGTACCTGCACAGTACCTTTGAGGGCAGGTGGGGTGAAGACACTCTGCTTCCTCTGCTTGGGGGAGGCGCTCTGGGACTGGGGAGGGACAGAACACAGAGAGAAGGGGTAAGAGACGGGCATGGAGAGAGTTTTCTGGTCATGGCAGCTCTGGGGCTTGCTCCACAGCTGCTCTCAGAGGGTGCACACCCCACCCTAAGAAGTTTCTAAGAACATTATTTTGTATAAATCTGATGCCAGCTTCTGAGCTTTTGTGAATACAGGGAAAAGCAAAACTAGATAGACAAACTATGTGTTTAATGACAACCTTTATGGCTCCCAGGCAAAACGGACCCAATACTACTGAACATTACTCTTTGCTCTAAAAAATATTGTTAAGCATAAAATTAAGATACCCTGTGCTTTTAATAGTCAATGTCCTTGATTCTCATAAAGCAGATAAACATTTACATATATTAAAATTGTTTCAAGATTTACATTAATTAATATTCCAATTAAATACAGTGTAATGAATGATTATGTCTATAGGTAAGGTAGCATTGAAATTATTCATATATAAATTTTAAAATAAATAAATGGAAGATCACTCCACCAGCCTTTTTTCAATGTGGTCTATAAATCCTAAAATAATATTTTCAGCAACCAAACACTCAACCTTTAACTGGGCTTCATTTAAGTGATATATTTAAACACAGTTAAATGTTTTAGGGCCCCAAAATCATGTCTATGCACAGGAGAGAAATTATTCCAAATTAATGGTAGTAAAACTACACATAGAGTGATAGTATTATAATTATACTAATGTATAGTTAGCAAAATCTATCCAGAATACATTCCAGTGCTAAAGCAGAGCAACTTTTGCAAAATGAAAGCAGTTCATCAATATGAACATCAATATGGTGTACATATTATACCAACATAAAATACGTCCATATACAAAGGATAATGAAACTACATAAGGTCATACACATAGCTAGCGTTTGAAGACATAAGCATCATATCACGTTCCTAGGAAAAGGGTTTAAAAAAAGCTGTGTGTAGGCAAGCTTTATTTTTTTTCTCCTCTAATCAATTTCTAGTTGCATTTGGTCATAGCAATGTTGCCTTTTCCCAAATACTTGCTAAACTGCCTTTTTCCCTTAGTACTTTGACAGGTATATAGTCTGTGAATTTTAATCAATCAGATCTATTTCTTCAAGAAACATTTGAGACAGCTCTTAAGAAAAACACTTTCACACAAGTATGGCCAATCCTATTACCTTACCTTATCACAATCGATGGAATGATAACATTTATAAATAAAATATTGTTTTCTTTGGAAAGAGAAAGCTATTTATAAACACTGTGGGATAGGTTGTTGATCCTCCCCCCAGTAAATCTTTATAAGTCTGTATTTGAGTCCAAATTTGAACCAATCAATACCTCCTACTGCTATTTAAAGCACTGCCTGCTTCTCTGAGCAATGGGTGAAGGAGAAAGAGATCAGGGAATTGCAGGAGCTACACAAGGGGAGGATAGAAAACAAGATCAGAGGAGCCAACTTTTAACTCTTCTGCAAACATCAATGCACTGCCTGCTGTGGGCTTGGGAAGTGATGGGGAGAGGAGTTTGCAATGCTTTTGTAGAACAGCAGTGATCTACAGACCCAAAGCAATGCTGGATAAGGTGATGTGGCAGGGTCACCACGGCCCAGGTTTGCTATGATTTGTGAGGGCACGGCAGCAAGGCTGAGGGAAACTTGCCTTTCCCAGTTACCTGCTCCAGCAATAAGGGGGAACTAGCAGAGCTGAAGGGCAACACAGCTTTACACATCCCTGTTTTGAAAGTGATGGCCCTTAAAAGGCTGTGTTTCTGAATATGGTGTGGCAATGTAAATAAAACATTAATGCGGACCAATCAGCAAGTTTCAAGGGGGTTTTAACAATAAGTCTATTTTAACAATAAATATATTTTAAAAAAAATATTTAACTTACCTCTGCCTGTGAGACGTTTGTTCTCTTCTCATCTTTTTCTGGTGGAGGAAAAGATACAGAAAGTGAAAAGTTAGTACAAAAGCTTTTCTCAGTGTTAACTCTTGTGGCTCTGCCCTGAACCCTACAGAACTATTGTAAATCAGAAATTAGTCTTCTGATTTACAGCTTTTCTTTCTCTTTTGTGCACCTCAGAAAATGGGAGGCTGTGATTAGCATTTAGACATAAGCACTACTTCTAAAGCTCTTCACTCCCATTTTTTGTCTGTGAATGAGCAGCAAGCAATGGAGCACTTTTAGCAGCAGGTCCTGGGGCCAGTCTCGTAGCAGGGCTCTGTGCTCACCAGTGGGCATCAGGAAACGTGGCTGCTCTGCCCAGGGACGGGACTGTCTTGTATGTTTAGAAAAGGCTTTGTTGCCAAATGGTATGCAGCAAATTTTTTTGGACTAAAAAAATAATTAATAAGAACCTTGCCTCAGTTAAGTTACTAATATACCAACACTGGTACTGAAGAGCACCTAACAGTAACGTGGAAAATTAACAAAGCAAAGCTTAACAAAGTCTAATCTTTCATCTTAGAAGTTTCATAACATTACTGATGTAGTTTCAGAAATTACTGTGAAATATTTCCTGTTACTGCTTATTTTCGTTGCCTTAATTTGCTTTGAACTATAGGCACGGCAGAAATGGTCAATATTGGAGATTTCTAATGAAAATAAGCATCTGAAAATCTTTCTGAACAACTAAGTAAAATTGTATGAAACAGAGAAGGGTCAAGGATCCTTCTGATCATTGCCCTTAACCAGCTTGTGCATGAAATTAAATTATTTTTCTGCTGCTGTCTTGATGCGGTTAATGGTCAGAAAGTGGTGGTCTTCTGATGATGCTTTCACAAATATTTGAGAAGATCACATAGGACCTTTGATACACAGTAGTTTACAGCTCTAAAATAAAATGCTATTAAGAACAGACACATCAATCTCTCACTGTACCAACACCCCTTCTAAAATTTTCCACTTGCAGATATCACTGCAATTTCCACTGAGGTGTGGCAGATCTGTAATGTAGGTCTGAGAGAAGAATTAGGTCTACATCACTTAATCTAACTTATTCTCTAGATATTGGCTAGTGGTATCATTGGCTAAATATAGCTTGTGGTATGCTGTGTGTGAGGGGAAGAGCCCATCCAGGCAGACTGATTGCATTTTCTGTTGTATTCTTTACCGTTGCATCTGTGCATCTTACAAAAATTAATTGACTTACTGGATTTTTCAATGTATGTATTTTCCATTACCTTTATATGAAAGACATTCAAATGACTTATACTCAAGGTTAAAAAAATATGGTTGAAAACTGTGCTGATTACTGAAGCATGGTCCCACAGATACAGAATTAGACAGAACAATCAGGGGGCCAGTTCCTGCCATTGACATTTGTATGAACTTTGTTAAGGTGACTAATCTCTTCCTTGACTTCCCTACCTGTAAATAACTATAGCAGTATCTATTTAAATATATCTATTTTGTAAAGTACTTTGGGGTATGAAGTTAGGCTGGCTAAATGGGTGATTATTTCTGTGCTTGTAACTTTTCTTATTAGTTTTATACCAAACAGACACAGACTTCAATGATCCAACACTGAATTATTTTTTAGCTTGGGATCCTTGGGATTTTTTAGCTTGGGACTTAGTTTGGAGGCTGAAATTCAAATAAATCAGAATCTTTCAGCAGAGAACAATGAAAAGCTAGTTATGTCCCATTCCTTCCTGAAGCTCTAAACTTGCCCAGATTAAAAATACGTTTTGTAAATCCAAGCTGATATGATGAGGCTTGCATAAGGAACAAAACCTGCAATCAGCAGCTTTGTTTGGTTTCAGGTCTTGTTCCTAAGGTTGTGTGCAACTCTAAGCCTTTGGGCTTGCACTTTTAATGTTCTTAGTGGGGTGACATTAAACCTACCAGAACTGGAAAGCTTCCAGCTTTTCCTTTCACCCAGCAGCCTTTATATGACAGGCAACTTTGGGAACAAGAACTGGTCCTGTATGGAGTTAGAGAAATCATTCATATTCACAGGGCAAATAGTGCCAATGAGTCGCAGCAGACAACATGGAAATTTAAGAATGACTTACAAAATCCCACAAACAAACAGATTTTCAAATCCATTAAACAGACATCAGAAATTAACCTAAAGGAGCAAAAGAGACAAACTTGAGGAAATGAAGTGTTTCGAGCGAATTGTGAGGTGAAGGGAAAGGAAGAGCTGGTTGGGGATGAAGTTTGGTCAACAGTACATTTTGGCAGCACTTATTTTTGAGGACAGAAAGACCACTGCAGGTTTATCTTTGAGAGGCATTTTGATAGAAAGACTCAGTGGAGAGCATAGATTTTTAAGGGAACATGACAAGGAATGGGAACAAGGGAAGCTGAGATTACTGAGTGCCACAGACTGAGGCAGAGAGTAGAAAATAAACAAAAATAATGTGTTAGAGGACAAGGAAAAGACGAAAGGCAAGGGATACATAGAAGGAAGAGAGAAGTGCCTGTGTGTAGCTGAGGTAGTAATGAGAGACAGGGGCAGTGGGGTTATAGCAGAAGTAAAAGGGGAAATTTCGTGATGACAGAGAGCAGAGCGGTAGCGAAGTGTGGGCTGGAGCTCAGTCAAGAGCCCTTTGCCTGGGGAAACAGAGTCATATTAGTCTAAGTAGAACGATTACATTAATAATTGTGTGAACATTCTTCCTTGGACAAATACTGTTTTAACAGTGTAACTTACAATGCTTTGAAAGCAATATAAACAAATTTATGAAAGTATGTTCTTGTAACAGCCTTAATAAGAAAATGTCTTTGAGAGAGTTAATGTGTGTAGGAATCAATGCTCTCACTACAACAGGTCAGTTCTGGGATCAAGAGATTTCACGTAGAAAATCTCTGAGACAACAAAATTTATGATGAGAATGGAAGGTAGAAGGTATGAAAGATCATCATCTTGACTCACAGGAGAAAATGAAATCCTGTTTCTCAACATCCTTTAGTTCCCATTGACTACTGTGCAGTCAGGATTCTGCTCACAAAACATCCTAGTTACGTAGAATAAAAAAAATCCTTATCACATTTATAGCTAGGCAATTATATCGCTGAGAATGTGAATTCAAGTGATCAACTATTTCTCTCTTACGTGAGACAAAAGCCAAGTTTTCAGTAGATAACATCTCCCTACAGATTTACTCTCCTTTTGGAGCCGGGAGGGAAGGACACTTTGATGATGCTCCATTTTTGTCCCTCACAGACCATAACATTTCTCACAGAACACAATAAAGCTGTAATATATTCCAAATCTGAACATATGGCATTTTTCCAGTTTAACTTATTCTTAGCTGCTCTAATTAGCTAACAGGAATCTAATTACTCATGTCATTTCTTGATAGTTTTTGTTTTAAAGTGGTATAATAGAAATCACATGAAAAGCTGAGAACAGATTTGTATATACCCAAGTCACTGGACAGCCGAGGTGCATAAAAACAAGACCGGAGGTTTGTTTAAAGGTTTTTTACACCTGCATTGAGGAAAAAGCACTTGAGGACTTTTCCCCTGCACTGGGTAAATAGTATCTGAGGCTAGTGTGACCCTTACCTCATGTAGACTGGAGTAGGACCTGATTTTCATCAATCCAGTTATGTATACAGCCTTTATGAAATGAAGCCTTATTTCTTTAAGGAGAGACACCTCTGAAAGTCCATTTACCTGGTCAGAGACCATTTCAGTATTACAGCTCTAATCTTTAGTCTTTATCCAGGGCAAAACCTCACCCACTTGCAGGGAAACCTGCAAGATTCACCCCAGCTATATACTGCTGAAATATGGAGGAAGTAACACCAATGCATTTGTCTTCTGAATGCTCTTGTTAGCAGAGCTCCTTTGACCGTTTGTTAGCACATCCAACCAGCCAAGCTGACATAATAAGCTGAGCTACCCCAAAGGTGTCATTATATGAGGTCAGAAGCAAACCGAGCGGAAGGATGCTGGTTATGGCTGGGATGACAACCACTCGATATTGCTGATCACCTTTCCTGTGAGTCTCTACTGCTGGGCAAACGGCATGACCAAGCTGGGGGAAGCCTTATGGTTGTTTTAGAGTAAGATCAAAATTCATTTGCCTCTCTTCTCCCACTGGATAATGTTAATGCACTCGGAGCAGCTATGCAGGGCAGGAGGTGACCTATTTTAAAAGACTTGGCCTCTGATATCACCCATGGGCTCCACAGCGGAGTCACCAGCAAAGACTTATCTCATCCAGCTAAGTACTCAGCTTTCCTTCCCCTGGCAAGAGTGAATAAAAGCCTTTTCTGCAGGGTTTCAGTCAGGCACTGGAGGAACAGAACAGGTCAGAGAAGCCGGCTTCTACACAAAAGAAACTCAGTAAGAGACTCATATAATTGTTGGAGAAAGCTTCATGTAGAGAGTTTGAAATTTTCCTTGAGAAAATAAAACAGAGAAGCTTCAGATAAAAATCACAAGAGGCTGATTGAGTTTTGGATTTGGTTAGTTTTTGTCATAGTTTTTAAATTTTCCCTTAAAAATAATAAACTCAATACTCTTTGATTGCTCAGATGGTGGAAATAGTCCATGAATTGCATGGCTATAACAGAACTTAGTTAAAGTCTGACTTAAACAAGAACGGTTTGAATCTGAAAGAAATTACCCTGAAGAGAGACTTTCAGGACACAATGTCACTGTCAGTCTGGAGCCTTCTTATAATCCTTTCCCCACCCATCTATAAACAGTGCCACTGGAGAGAACAAAGTAGGTGATCAGAAGCACGGCTCCAGCCTTTCACACGCAGTGCAGGACACCCCAAGCGAGAGACAAATCAGGTAATGCTACTGCTATGAAATAGTTCATACAGTTTCATTTAATTTCATTTGTTTTGATGAAATGTCTCAATGGCCAAACAATAACATGTCCATCAGCAAAGTGTTCTCTCTCAAAAAGTGTGAAAGAAATGAACTGATACCTGACTTCTGATCAATATGCTTGATGATGA